GCGGGTGCAATGGAAGTTGGAGCGGACCTGCAGGCCTGTCCTGAAGCCATTTCTGTGCAAAAGGACTGTGCGGTTTGTACTTAGAAGTTGCGCGCGGGCTTTTTTTGTACTTTGCGATCTTGGTCTGTTGCTCAGCATGACCCCGCCATGTTTCGAGTGGAAATATAGGACGATAGGGGGGGAGACGGCTCCCCCCGCACCGTTAATCTGCAGCTGTTGCGGCCGCCAAGCACGAAGGCCCACCTTCTATGCGATAAATCTTTAGATACAGAACCATGTACATATTTGCACAGTGGCGAGACACGATCTTGTTGCTTAATTCACGTAGAGCAACGACCACTCGACGCATTAAATTGCGAGGCCACGCACATTTGGAACAGTGGCGGGACACGAGATTGTTGTTGAGTGCAAAAAAATGAAGAAAAAAACTAATAAGAGGGCTTCGGGGTTTAAGTAGTATATGTATATATGTATATGTATATGTATATGTATATGTATATGTATATGTATATGTATATGTATATGTATATGTATATGTATATGTGTATGTATATGTATATATATATATGTCGTCTCGTGCCGATAAAGGCCAAAGCCTTTAACAGAAAACCATACACCTGAAACCCTAAGCCCGTAACTGTCACCTTAAACACAAAACCCAAAGCCCTGACACCCAAAGCCTTGCAAAAACACCTTGGACAGAAAACCCTGAATCCTGAAACCCAAAGCCCTTAAACGAAACCTTAAACACAGGTTTAGGGTTTAGGGCTTTAGGGCTTTAGGGTTTTAGGGTTTAGGGTTTAGGGTTAAAAGAAACCTTAAACACAGATTTAGGGTTTAGGGTTCAGGGCTTAGGGGTTTAGGGTTTAGGGCTTAGGGTTTAGGGTTAAAAGAAACCTTGAACACAGGTTTGGGGTTTAGGGTTTAGGGAGTTAGTGTTAAAGGATCGAAGCCTTAAACAGAGGTTTTGGGTTTAAGGTCAAAGGAAACCTCAAACGCAGACCTTATAAACCCTCAGCCTTCAAATCATGAGCAGCCCTCAAGCTTTAGGGTTTGGGGCCTGTGCTCGGGCTGGGATCGTTCAGTTGGGCGGGCTGTTCGCTGGAAAGTGGGTACACGAACTTTCGGATTTTTCCTCGCGGCTCTCCACAATCTTCGCGTTGTACTGGAGCAACCAACGCTGCACAATGCGCTTGCTTAGCGATGCACTGTGGACCGCAAGCTTGGCAACACGACAAAGCTGCCCTACCCAGTCCTCCTCTTTAAAACAGGAACATATCCTTGGATTGAATCTGGAACCGCATGCCGCACGGCAGATGATTTGACAATGCAGTTGGTGTAGCTTTGGGCGCAATTTGTACCTGCATGTGACAATCGAACTAGATCGAAATTTGGTTTCTGAACCTAAGTTTAGGGTTTGGGGTTTAGGGTTTAAGTTTAAGGTTCGGCCTAACACGCCCCAAACTGCGAATCTATAAGCTCAGCTGCAAAGCTCTTCCAGCTTCGACGTTTTTGGCGGCCAGGGACACATACGTCTGGACATAGAGCCGTCCAGCCCTGATAAGGATTTAGGGGGGCAGAATTATATGGAGGTCTTCAGAAAAAGACAGGAATGCACGACGACGACGACGACGACGAGGAATAACTACGTAGAATTATGTCTAAAAGCATTGAATGACCCAAGTATATGGAAAACACCAAGACATTGGCAAGACTCTCCACAAGAAGAGACCGTTGCTGATCATCAAGCCAGAACTTGGCTTCGTCGCACACCGCACCGACCGTATGCAAGGCCCAGCAGCATACAGACTGCATATGCATCGCAGGTTCAGATGTGTCCTAAGTTTCGATGAAGAAACCAGGCAATCATCTGATAATTCACACAGCTGGTAGACATTCAGAAACCCTACTTGTAAGAGTAAAAGGGTTTAGAGGTTTATAAAGGGTTTAGGGAGTTGTTGTTGATTCGATCCAAGCTACTATACGTACTTCGGCAGGTATTCAGATCGAAGACGTTGGTAGGTACTGGCTATAACAAACACTATGAGAACCAATACCAAGAAACACGCAAAGTGTGCGCGAAGTACGCGGTCCTCGGCAGCGCAGTTTGTTAATATGTTTTTTTTGCATGTGACAACAGCTGGTTTCTAGCATCGTCCTAGTACTTGTACAAGCAGCCACCTTAAGTGAAATGAATCAGACGAAGTTTCAGGACTTTGTTCGCGTAGCCCTTCGAGGGGCCCTGTGGATAGTCGAGACTGAGCGTTTCCACGCCGAGCCTCGACAAGCCTCAACACGAAGAAATACTTTTCGTAAACACCAGCACATCATTAATTGCGGGAGCCCAACAGCATTTGGAAAACAAAAACACAAATATGAATACCTCCCCACCTCCTGGTTGCTTAAAAAAGAACGAAAAACTGAGCTCGTCAATCGTCGACGGCCGGATCCCCCGGGCGGCACACCAAGCCTGAATGTCTTTGCGCAAAGAAGCCAGGCGCTGATCATAGGTTGCGCCGACAAGATCTTGCCGGGTCTCAGCCATTTCCAGACAGAGACTTCCCACAAGGTCCCTACCAGTACCAAGCCATATACAGTGCAGCAAGTCTGGTACTTCCATATTGCACGACCAGCCGCTGAGTTGCTTCATAGCAATGTTTTCCCCCACTGCTGTTTCTTGAGCAAGAGCCAAATCTGCATCGTTATTAAAACGCTCTTTGACATCTACCCAGTCGTTTTTTGCAGCAAAGCATCGTGGGCAGATGCCATGACTTCCGTGAGTCACCTTCCCATAAAAGCGGGTTTGTTGCAACCACTCCTTCCTCCACTTCCAGTCTCCTTTCCCGGCTACAACATGTAATGTCGCGCCGAGTCCATTGCCCTTGTCGCTGCACTGATTCAACGACATCACGAGGTCATGTTGAAGGTGAGAGAGCGTGACATTCTTGTCTCCGTCAGAATGGAAAAAGTCGCTCTTGATTACCTGGGAATGCTTTGGATTTTCACTTATGCTCGAAGTCTCCGAAATGCTTAAGGAATTGGTGCCGTGCCTACTTAAATAGCAGGTACCAAGGCACACAGTAGGGAAACTTGCTATACATGGATTCTTTGGAGCTTGCCAGCGGTGACCAAGAAATGATAAGCATGTTCCTGGACCGCTTGCTTTGTCCCTCGTCTCCATGTATGGAGATCGGGTACGCAGTTGCTTTTTCAGCATCGCTCCAGTTTTGCACCGGGTGGGTCCTTGAAATTCTTGCCTTTAATTGAAACAACAAATTAAGAAATCTTTCACGGGCAGCAGCACTAATTGGAATGGCGCAGGCATAAACAAATCGAATGTTTACAGCCCAGTCGCGCTCCCCAGTCCTCGGAGCGAGCCTCGTTCCAGAACTCCACAAGGTCAATGGAGTCTTCATTCCTGACCATAGCGACCAGCTATTCGAAACAAACTTTGCCAATCCTAGACGTCGGTTTGTCTTTCAGACTAAAGAACGAAAAGTTTATATATGGGTAAAACCAGGCTAAGGTTCAGCTCACTGAGCAATCCTGCTTTCACGATTCCTTGAAACAGATCGAACGGGCGAATCAGAGGCCAGGATTGGTAGCAGGTGGGCGCCGGGGCCGGGTTTTTTGTTTTCTTCTTCGGCCGCGGTCTCCCGACCGCTAGCAAAACTCGTCGCTTCTTGCTCCTGCTTCTGTTGGCTTCTCTGGCAGTGACCGTGCGAAGATCTTTCACCAGTATGGACGGCGTAGATACGGGGCACTTCAATGGAGTCTCGGTTGTCTTTCTCTGACCACGAAAACACATAGGTACATGTTTATACAAAAGGGAAACTAGAGCCGAATTGCTGACTGAAACCGAAGCTTCGTCCTTGGAAGAATGGCTCGCACGATGCAAGCGCTCCTCGATATGCTGTGGGCGGGTTCCCTGGCAACCCAACGTCGTGGCCCACCGCGTGCCTGCAGCATGAACACACGGAATTTAAAAAACAAGTTTACACCACACCCTGTTTTCGATCCTAGAAGAAATAGAGCTCCCGAAATCCGAAACCGAAAAGCTTCGAAGCCAGAGGCCCTGATTCTTAAAGTCTGATCAACAGCAAGGTTTGATGCAAGTCGCTTTTTGACATTTGTCCACGACATTCAGCTGTGGCAGCTTCCGATATTCTTTGCACAGACGAGGCTGCCTGCCCACGTCCAACATTCCACGCCAGCACCCGTGAAAGAGGGGACTGCAAAGAAAAATCAGAGCTCCGACTCCGATCTTGCGACTGCAAACGCTTCTGTTCTCTGTGCAATCGTTGTGCCGCCTTCAGCATTTACGACAGCTAGATCAGGCCAAAAGGCCCACGAAAAGGACATGGCAAGCGTAACGGGCACACTCATTTTCTCGCGCTCCTGTGCTGCCGAGGATAGAGCTCGAGTTTTCGGGCTGAGGTACTACTTTAAATTTTGGGTGCTGGAGGAGTTTCGGTCTGGTTTTACTGCAGAGGATAGAGCTCTACTAGCTATGAAGTACTACTTTGGGGTTTTGGGTGAGTTTCGGTCTAGTTCTACTGGGTTTCGCTTATTTAAGGGCATGGAGACGTTCCCTCCGGAGAAGGGTCTGACTTTGGGGAAACAAAACTATCATGTTGCACATAGAGGGGCTTAGGGTCTAGGGTTTTAGGGGTTAGTAACTTTAGTAGTTCAGTAGGGTAAGATTTAGATTCGTTTAGATCATCGTGAGATTAGCCTTTGTTCCATGTTGTAGTCTTTCGGGTTCCGGGCATATTGCATCTTGATCACTCAGTGGCATTCATTGAGTCAAGTTGAATGATTTGCGAGTCGGCGCATGATCTGATGCTCAGAGGATGCACAAAACATATTCTTTGCAGACGAGACGACCTGCACACATCCACGTAGAATCAGCTAGCAATGAACAGTCATGTTCAGCACGACTGTTCGCCTACCCAGCCCCATATCGGTCGATTGCCGATCGATGTTGCCCCGTGGCAGGAGGCACCCTGGTTCGCACATTATTGGAAAGGTAGATATTGCAAGGCTCGGGGATATTACCACACTAAGCCTAAGACTCTGGACTGCGAGGCCGCCGTGTAGGGGTGGAGGGTTATACGGTTGATGAGGGTTTAGGGGTTTAGGGCTTTAGGGGTTTGGGAATAAAGGGTTTAGGGTTTAGGGTGCTCGAGGAACTTCAGCTAGGACAGCTAGGAGCCTCCCGCCAGAAATCAAAACCTTCATCAAAAGCCAAACTAGGCCTTCGGAGCCGCAGCTTCCTTTTTGGGTGCAGCGGCTTTGCGTGAAACACGGTTGAAGCCCTGGATCCTGAGTATGTCACCACGGCAGCAGAAGCTAGTTAATGCTTCGAAAGCAAACACCAAACACAACCCATAATGTTTCCCAGGGACAGGTTCGCAGCGACCTTGCTGTGCTTCTTGAAAGCCTCCACGTAGGGTGCCGCCTCGCGAGAGGAATTGGTTGGGGTTTGTAGGAAATACCAGTTGGCGAAGAAACAGAAATCCTATTAAACCCTGTGAATTCGATCATGAGCAGCCTTGTGAAGAATCGTCTGTACGGACTCCGGGGTTTGCTGCTTCAACTCCTGAAGCTCCTGTCGCGAAGTAGCCATACCCTCCACAGAATCGGAAATCATCTTGATCAGCTCGGTCTGTGACTGCAGAGGCCCCAACCTAGGGTTTAGGGTTTGGGGTTTTAGGTTTAGAGGGAGTATATACTTGGTTGCTAGGTTTTGGGTTTGGGGTTTTAGGTATAGGGTTCTGGGTTTGGGGTTTTAGGTTTAGAAGGATTATATACTGGGTTGCTAGGTTTTGGGTTTGGGGTTTTAAGTATAGGGTTCTGGGTTTGGGGTTTTAGGTTTAGAGGGATTACATACTGGGTTGCTCAAGCAGCAAAGCCCTCGACACACATGACTTATGATCAGCCATAGGAACTCTATCTTGGTAGTAGTGGCCCGGCCCTCGGCCGCCGTACAAGCACTCACCCAATTGGTAACGAACTCCGACAACTGGAAATCCTTTGTAGCCAGCATCTGCGTGATGTCGATCTCGAGCTCGGAGCCCTGATAAGGGTGGGTGAGCAGCTTTATCTAGGAGCTAATTATTTAAGTCAGGGCATACAGATAGCGTAGGGGAATGTTGGGGGTTTACATTTTCATGTGAAGGCCTGTCTTTTGGGTGCTCGGGCTTTCTTCTTCGGCGGCGGGGGTGGTGGGTTTTCACCCCCCGGCTCTCCCTTCCCTCCGCCCTTCCCAGGATTGGGGTTGTCGGCAGCAGCTGGCGGCGCCGAGATTGCTCCCAGGCCGGTCTTGTTTGGGTCATGACCCTGTTCTAGGATTTGGGCAACCTGAGTAGCCCAGCTCGCTTCTGCACCCAGCTCGATGCAAATCTCATCCTTGGATAGAAAACTTGAATCACATTTGCGAGCAGTGCGATGATTGGATCAGATATGCAGCCTATGGGATTCACGTAAAGCCAGGACACCAAAGATCTTGTCGTAAGCGACCTCTTTTCGCGCTGGTAGTACAAGTAGGTCTTGATGTCGGGATTGTTGCGGTCCGTCGACGTCCTGGGTAGTCGGTTTGGGGGATATTATTTAGTGTTCGGGCCCTGGAATCTCGATAAATACAGGCTAGCGTCCCCTTGAATTGTCCAGCTCGCATCCTGCAGAACTCCTCTGCCCTTGCCGCATTGTTCGAAAAGAACCCCAGGATGTCCTCGTACGGGTAGTAGTGTCCTCTGTGATTCTGGAGTCGTAGAGTTTCGAGTTAGGATTTGGTGGTGGTGGTGGTGGTGGTGGTGGGGCTTAAATTCAGGAGCTAAGGTCTTCCTAAGGTTTTGTTATCATGGCGCCAGGCTGTCGGGTCTTGGGATCTGTAGGGTCGGCGTATCAAAAGAAATTTACCAATGTCGTGAACCATCCCCAAACCCTAAAGCCTATCTATCTATCTATCTATCTGTCTATCTATCTATCTATCTATCTATCTATCTATATATGTATGTATCTATATCTATATCTTTATCTACATATATATATATGTAGATATAGATAGGGCCGAAACCATAAACTATATATATATACACATACATACATACCGTCGACTTAAGTGTAGGAAGATGTTGGGCTTGGGGATGAGAGGTTATTAGTTAAGGATGAATTAAGGGACCCATTGAGAACTAGTCGGTTATGCTGATAGTTCGGTGCATGCAGCACCCTGGCCTTCATCCTGGGACATGTCCTCGTGCTGGCGCTTGAAACGCATGACCGCTTCAAGGGCCAGACCATTGCCTCAGCTATAAATCCCGACGTAATCCCAACACCACTTAACGTAAACCTAGCCTTCATCAGTTGCATCTATTTGGTGCTTAAGCCGGGAGTCAGCCAGCCTGCACGAACTTTTGAAAGGCGGCGAGCTTGAACGCTCCTCCTTTCCTGGATGCCATGCCGAGTTAAATGGAGAGCAACTGAGCTGATATGAACGTGTTGACACATACGGTGCTGGGGTTCTGACGCATAGGCTTTTTTCAACTCTGATGCATGTTCGTGCCGCTCACAGAAGCGGGTGTACCGTTTGTACTCGGCTGGGTGCGAGTCACTGTTGATTCTAACGGGGTCCGTGTAAGGAACCCTTCCTGCAGGGGCGGGGCCTGGTGCTGCTGCCGCTGCTGCGGGTGCTGCTGTTGCCGGTGCAGGGGATGGCTCGGCGTGGGCCGGGGGCGGGGGTGGCATGGGTGGCGCACTCTTTGCCACAGCAGGGGGCGCGTGAGGCTCTGGGGTGGCAGGCGCTGCCACGGTGGGCTGTTGCACAAAGAGCTTGGCAATCGCATCGACAATCGGCTGCAGTTGCTCCGGCCCAGCACCTCCAGCTTGCAACTGCACAAGCAGATTGGCCAAGACCTGAGTCTGGCCAGTGGCATTGGGTGTAGATGTCGCGGGCGGCGGTGTCGCTGGAGCCACTGTAGTCGCTGGACTGTGAGACTCCGTTGCGGTTTCGGGAGACGGTGTTGCCTGTGCTGGCGGCGGAGTAGCTGGACCGGGAGAGTCCGATGGTGGCCTCTGGAAAAACATCGTTGATGGCGTGGGCACAACTTGTGCTGGATCAACTGGGCTGGGAGACTCCGATGCCTTGTCGGGAGACGGTGTGGCCTTTGGGGCTGGAACATTCGTCGATTCGGTAGCGGCGGCTTCGGTCGCGGATGAAGCCACCGACCTGGATCTGAATAGCTAATTTTTCTGTGTTAACCGAAACCATGTTAGAACACACCTCGATCGAGCACCCGCACACACACACACATGTGCATGTATGTGTGTGTATATATATATATACACACACATACATTTAATGTATAGAGTAGAGTACATGCATGTGTGTGGGGAGGGCCGTTCGAAGTTTTGAGTGTACAGGGCACAGGTTTTAGGATTTAGGGTGGGTTGAGTTTAAGGATAGAACGACGGGGTTAAGGGCAGCGAGGTCGTGGCTTTTGTTTAGGGTTGTTTGTGTGGGCTAGGCTTTTCCTCTCTGAACCCAGATCGAGAAACCTAATTGAAGCAAGCAGCTCGAAAGACTTGGAACGAAACCTGCACCAAAAGTCCTTGTACTTTCCCTTCTCAGCATCAGATAGTACCGGGAGAGCAAATTCGTCGTCCTGCACAAGAAAACATCTTTCGGACGTACATTATAAAGAAGTTGTAGTAGGGTATTGGTTGCTTAACGAAGAGGTGGTCCTTCAGGGCCTTCCCAGTCCGGGCAACCTTGCTTGCCTTGGGGAGAGCGCTGAGGTTGGGCGCAGCTGATTTGGCCATCGTGGCGGCCGAGGCATCCGGCTCGACCAATGTCTGCACAGGGAAGCACGGATACTTTTTCCGGTGTAAAAAGATAGAATAGTTATAAGATTAGCAGAATCATCCTTATAGTCTTTAACCGAAACAGGGATAGCAGGGGTACCTATAGATATAATAATTAGATTAGCAGAATTCAGAATCATTGTTGTAATTAGTGTTTAACCGAAGCAGCACCTGAATAACTCGGGCTGGCAGACTATAGTCTTCGAAAGATGATGCTCTGCAAACCGTCGAAGGCGCCCTCCCCACACTGTCACCCACCCCATCCTGTGTGTGGTGCTGCCCTGTCCGCTCGGCCTCTCGCTTGAGCGGCCGGGCTTCGGAGAGGACACGCTGTTTTGCTTCCTCGCGTTCCTTTGCCTCCCTCGCTAGACGGGCCTGGGTTTCTCGTTCCTTTGCCTCCTTCATCATGGCCTGCCTCTCCAGGGTTTCTTTCTCCTTCATTTTGGCCTCAATCTCCTGGAGTTCTCTGGCCCTTGCCTCCGCCTGTTCCTTGGCCTCCTGCGCCGCTTTCTCCTTTGCCTCCTTCTCCTTGGCCTCCCTCTCCCGGGCTTCCCTCTCCTTTGCCTCCTTCTCCTTTGCCTCCCTCTCCCGCGCTTCTCTCTCCCTTTGCTCCTTCGCGAGAAGCTCCAGCGTGCGCATCTCCAGCTCTTTCCTCTCTCTCATCTCCCTTTCCTTGGCCTCTCTCTGGAGACGCTCTTGCTTTTTTGCTTTGGCCGCTTCCAAAGCAGCAGCTGCCGTCGCCATGGCCAATCTGGCCGCCTCTGCGGCAGCAGCCGCGGCCTTTTCCTCCTCTTCATCCTCCTGCTGGCCTTGGGTTGCCCCCCCCTCGTTGTTGAACTCCTGGGACACTTGCTTTTCAAGATCCTTCTGGATCTCGAGTACCTCCTTGTCTCTCAGGGTTGCCTCGAGGTCGCTGGTAGAGGCTCCGTGTTGGAGTGCCAAGGAGTTTGACCTTCCGGAAAGTGCTAGTGTCTCTGCCGACGCACCAGCTAGCAGGGTTGCCTCACAAGATCCATCCCAAGCCTGAGTCTCGAGAGTACTGATGTCAGGGCTCGGGCTGGGTCCAGCTTCTACAACCTTCAGAGTGACCGCATCCTGTTGGGTTCTGTCTGGGCTCGGGGTGGGTCCAGCTTCTACAACCTTCAGAGTGACCGCATCCTGTTGGGCTTTGTCAGGGCTCGGGGTGGGTTCAGGTTCTACAACCTTCACAGGGTTGGCAGCCAGGGCCGGTGTCGTGACGGGACTGGGGGCTGCAACAGTTGCCGGAGGTGTCGCTGGCGGCTCTGGAGCGGCCGGCGCTGGGGCCGACTTGGCCGTGAGGGCAAGCCTGAGATCTGGGCTTTGGCATATATTTAATTATGGTTGATTAGAGTAAGGATTTAGGTTTGGAGTTAGGGTTTAAGGCCTGTTTTGGTGGGTTTAGGAGTTTAGGGTTTTAGGGTTTAGGGGGCTGTTTTTTGGTGGTTTTAGGGCTTCACCCCAGACCTTGCATTGCGGAGGTTTGAAGATTTCTTTGGGGTCTCGGGTATCACTCCAAATCAGCAGAACCTGCTGGAATTGTGATCAAGGGGATCTTTAATCCAGAAGCCTTTAACCCAGAAGCTCCCAAGCCCCTAAACCCATAAAGCCCCCAACCAGAAAACCCTGCTTCCAGAAACCCTAAGCCCAGGGTCACTTGTCGACATACGGAGACCGCCAGCTGTTATCGGGTTTATCCTAGTTCAGAGTTTCTGAAAAAGGGTTGTGGGATTTCTGGGTTTACAGTTTTGTTCCGGGCTTAGCATAGGTTGCTGAAGTTTATAAGTGATACACAGTGTCGCTGTTGATTGCGGGTGGGTAGTTTCTGGAAGAACCGAGAGCTCCCAGTCGTTTTGCAATGGCCCGCATATGCGACATGTATGTATGTATGTAGGTATGTATGTATGTATGTATGTATGCACGTATGTGTATATATACATAGTACAGATCGACTGACATGTTTCTGTATACATACGTATGTACAGATATATATATATATAGGTATACTGTTCTATTAGTACTGATGCCCGACAATGTACAACACAAGCTATGGCAGTCAAAGAAACATCCGGTTCTTGACCATCTCTTGCTGCTCCGGACTCAAACCCAAGGCAGAGAGAGACACAGCTGCATCCACGGCCGCAGCAGCTTTGGGATCGGGTGCCTCGGATCATTAAGAAGGCGCTAAGACTATATAAAATTCTGATTACCCCAATGTTAGAGTCTATCTTCAGCAGAGTAGCAGATCCCTTTCCCACGCTTTTGGGCGCGGAAGGTGTCGCTTTCTTCCCCATGCTTCACACGGTTCACAGGTGGCCCCAGTTTATATGGGCGCCACGAAGGGAAAAGCTTGATCTAAGCCGCACGATAGCAGGTTGAGTTCATGACCACTCGGAGCTCATGAGACGTGCATATGGAAAACTGTACTTGTTGACGCTTTCTGACGCTTTTTGACGCATTTTGACACCCACCCCGCGGGCTGTAATGAAAGGTCTCGGAACAAAACTGTACTGAATCCTATGGCCCAGAGCATGGAAAAACTGTACTTTGGGGCGTACATCCATCACTATACAGGCCCAGCAACCGTTCCGGCATGTGCTCCAATGAGAAATTGCACTGAGCATGGTCCCGTATGTAGAAATTGGTGCTGCAATGCTCCTTTATGCGCACTCTTCTATGGTGTGTATACAGGAAACCGAGAAGCACAGACCGGTTAACCCCAACCCCTACTATATAGCAGCACGTAAGTACCCCGCATCAGTAGATGTGTTGAACAAACACAAGGCCCTGTACTCAGATAAAGGGATCCGGCCACGCCTCAGGCAGCCGCAGCCTTCTGCTCGCTACCATCCACTGGGCGACTTCCAGCAAGCCGTCCTTTTGCTAAGCAGGGGCGTTGGGAACGGTTGGCATGTTTTGATGTAACAGTATGGGATATCGACGAGAAGGGTTGTTTTCCTCAAGCTGCATGACTTAGGGCCCTGCAGTCTTCGGATCAGAATGACAGAACTGAAGACACACTACAATCATAAGACATAACAAGGGTTGTGCACAATTAAAATCATTGCCAATCTGTCTCTGATCGATGCTTGCAACGTTTCTTGTTGAAGCAGGTTTTCAAATAGTGGGATCGGAAGTTCTCTCAATAAAAACCGTGTGAATTATACGTGTGTATAAATGTATGCACATGTGTGTGTTGGCAGGTCATACTTTTAAAATTTTCTATGTGTGTCAATATTATGTATGTATGTATGTATGTATGTATGTTTGTTTGTTTGTTTGTATGTGTGTGTATGTGTGTGTATATATGTGTGCTTTTTAATTAAATGCAACTGATGCACGTAATTGCATGATATCTATTCTCGTCTGTTGGTTCTCTTATTTTATATGCTGTATGTGTATGTATACATGTATGTATTTATGTATGTATGTATGTATGTATGTATGCATGCATGTACGTGTGTGTGTGTGTATCATGTACATATGTACACATGTAGTCTGAGGGTTGTCGCCCCGACATGAAACATACCACCTCAACCCCTCCCCTTCCGGAACCTGTTTGGGATGCTTCAGCTAGAAACGATGGGATGTGGTTTGATGTCTCCTGGATTGTACGGGTCTGAGTCCTTGGCCTGAAACAAAGTGTTCTGTATTGGGTGCACGTTCCCACAGCCCGAATCTTACAGTCCCCATAAGGAACCGAACCCCTAGTTTTATGTATCATGAATTTTAGAGTCTTAAACATTACATATGTAGAGCCCCTATCTATCTATCTATCTATATAGATAGATAGATAGATAGATATGGCCTTGACGTACTAAAATGAGCAAACCCCCATTTTGAAACCCTATATATAATAATATCCCTCTACACTTAATATGACCGAAGCCTTTCGGGTTAGGTTCGGGATGGTTCGGGCAAGACACGGTGTCATCCCAGGGCATAGGTTGCGAGAACAGAAGTTGGATTTCGGTTTGCTCGTCCCACTGATCTTTCGTCACGAAAAGAGGCACAAAAGTCTTCTCGTTGGCGCAACCGGCACAGGCATCCTGAGCAGGAGGATACTTATTAAATTACACATGGGTTTCGGAAGTGTGGTATGGATAGAACTACGTACTCCCCTAAACGATATAAATATATGTTGCCCAGGTTCATCACAGGAAGCTGTTTGCCACATATCCAGGACGGCGGCGGCGAACTCATCAGTGTACTCCCTCAAGTGTTCATACATATATACAGACATAGACTGAAAACTAAACCTGCCCCCGAGTCCCCACACGGTTTAGGGTTTAAGGCTTAGGGTTTAGGGTTTAGGGTTGCACCAAGCTTAAATTAGGATTACCCGCAATTAAGACAAGGTTCTGCGTTTTCGTGACTTCGGCCTGTGTGCCAGTGACCCTTTTCTTCCCTCGTGCCTTGGATCGGCTGGGCCCGTATCTCTAGGGTTTAAATTCAGTCGTACCGAACCACACCCATACCAGGCGACATCAACATGCCTCTTGACGATCGTCTTCTTGGCAGCCTGGAAAGACTGACGATCTGGGGCGTCTTGCCGAGACTTGACCACCACAGCCTGCAGAACAGATAAGATATGGTGTCGGGTTTTCCTTCCTGTTCACATTTATTTGCAGCAAAATTACTAGGCTTTAGGCTAGACCGGCCTTGAGGAATCGATGGTTCCCGTACAAATAAGTCGGCTTCTTGGTTCTCGCGTTGAAGGAGGCCATGCTCACTTGTACACGGTAAACCTGAGCCATCGATCCCTCGCTCCCTCCCAGCTCGAGCGCTCCTCTCCCTCACCCACTCTCTCTTCCTGTCCATCTCTACTTCCTCTGATAGTTAGTCAGTTAGTGCCTCGTAAAGGATGGATTTCCCCCTTCTCGCGATCTCTCAGCCTCGTCTCGATTGAGAACCCGGCTGTTTGCCTTTGGAATAAGCCCTGGAAACAGGGCATCGTTTCCATGCCACCAGTCGCGCCATGGACTGGTTGTTCCAATAGAACACAAACGTCATTCAGCATTGCTAGCTCCAGCAGCAAACATGTCCTGCAGCAATGAGCAAACTAAAGCCTGGGCAGTGGTTTCGATGCGAAGACAATGTACGGGATCTGCCTTCGTGCCATCAAATTTCCGGTCCGCACCGAAGGGCAGGATGCGAACCCCTCGGGCATCAGCACGCACCGGCCAGTCGCCGACGAACTTAGAAACGACCAACTGGAACCTCAGTTGACAGCGGAGATAAGTATTTGTGTTTTGGGAAGATGCAGATATACTAAACTCCGACCAGACTCCGGACAAATCTCTTCCGGGTAAAAACCTTACCTCCAAAATTGTTCCTGTTATTTCCTGTGCTTATAAAGACACAGAATCCAGTACAACATATTTCGGACCAGTGTCTGAAGCTTCTTAAACAAGAACCCGACAACCAAGGACCAGATTTAGGAATTATAGGGTCTAGGGGTATATATATATATATAAAGCCCTAAACCCTAAAGCCCTAAACCCTAAAGCCCTAAACCCTAAACCCTAAAGCCCCTAAACCCTAAACCTAGGTACGCGTCTGGGAAAAAAACCACCTTGCTC